AATGCAGCCAATGCATGGAATGCATTAATAAATTACGAATGTGAAGAAATGAGCTTGTTCTTCCGCCTTGACCTCTTGACTGAATTCTTTTTTTATATCTCTTTTTCTCTTTCTATCGCGTTTTCGGGTCCTCGGCGTCTGTTTGCGTTCTGTTCCTTCATATCAACACATCATGACAGGGGTACTCCAAAGTTCGAAGCCAACAGAGGATGTCGCGGTTGAGAAGAATGGGACTAATGTCACTTTCAATGAACAAACTAATTATGTGCCTAAGCGTACTATTATCACGGTTAGTGAATGCGGTAACAAGCAATATATGGCCTTGCTAATGTCACCCACTCCTAGATATTCCTAGCATGTTCCAGCGTTGATCTCCTGGCATTGATGGACCAGACGACCCTGGCGGCCAGTTTGTCTATTATAGGAAATGCATTGGGAGCCAGCGATCAGACATCCTGGATTTCGGGCGGTTATTTCGTGTGAGTGCTCTTTTCTCTTGCATTCATGATACTATTCAGTCAAACTAACATTCGCGACACAGAACATCAACATGTTTCCAATTACTATATGGAAAACTATCTGACATTTGGTCTCGCAAGCTTGTGCTCTTCGTCGGCCTAGCCATTTTCTTCTTCGGGTCATTGGCAGCTTCGCTTGCGCAGACAGCCACGCAATTGATTGTCTTCCGTGCTTTCACCGGAGTTGGTGGCGGTGGTCTCATGACAGTCGCGCAGATGATCGTCAGCGACGTTGTCCCTCTCCGTGAACGAGGCAAATATCAAGGTATTCTAGGTGCCGTCGTTGCTATTGCGAATGGCATTGGTCCCGTCATCGGAGGTGCACTGGCTTCCATTTCAGAAGACTCGTGGCGATGGATCTTCCGCTTGAACCTACCGCTCACTGCATTAACCACGTTGGCTGTTTTGTTTTTTATGCCCCTTCGGAAAGTCACGGGCGACTGGAAAGTCAAATTGAAGGCAATTGATTTCTTTGGTGCAATTCTGGCTCTCGGGGGGACTTCGGTCTTGCTGCTTGGTTTGACTTGGGGCGGCGGCGAGTATGCATGGAACTCGGCGCATGTTATTGCGACTCTGGTCGCTGGGTTCGTCATCTCTGTTGCTTTTATTGCGTGGCAGTGGAAGGGCGCGTCTACACCCCTGGTTCCAATGCATATCTTCCAAGGTCGGATTGTGAACGGCGCGTGCTTGACCATGTTCATCAACGGGTGGAACTTTCTGGTGCAAGTCTACTATATTCCCACTTTCTATCAGCTGGTATTTGGATATTCGACGGTGAAAGCGGCTGCAATGCTTCTACCTATTACCCTCATGCAAAGTACAAATCCTCTTCTCCTTGGTTGTGTTGCCGTGCTGACTTCCTTCACAGCTATCAGCAGCACAGGCTCCGGTCTTGTTGTGCACTGGGTAGGTCGTTATCGTGAATGCATTCTTTTTGGGTGGATTATCTGGGCTGTTGGCCTGGGGCTTTTCTCTACACTTGATCAGCATTCGGGATTGGGAAAACAGATTGGGTATGGCATTCTGACTGGTGTCGGGGTTGGAAATACTCTGCAGCCGTACGTGGTCCCCTATCCTGGCCCAATAAATTATGCTAACTCCGCGTAGCTCTCTTATTGCAGTTCAAGCTGGTGTTGAAAGACGGGATATGGCCGTGGTAACTTCATTCAGAAAGTGAGTGACGCCCACAGTGATGCAAGCGATTTTATGAAAATAACAATAAGCAGCTTCGTACGAAACCTCGGCGGCACTCTCGGGCTCGCTATTGCCGGTACTATCATGTTAGTGTTTTTTTCACATCTGTTGGTTTGTTCTCTTATTAATCGATACAGAAATAATATCGTCTCGTCGTCCATCTCAGTTCTCAATCTCGACGCATCTCAGTCCCGCTCTCTGCTCTCGAGTCCACAAAATTATCTTTCAAAGTTATCTGCAGAAGATGCTGAGCATGTCCGTGATGTACTGACGCCGGCATATCAAAAGGGATTCCGTATCATCTTCATTGTCGGTGCATCCCTTGCGACATTTGCTTTCTTTTTGGCTGTTTGGTTGATGCCACAGGTTGGTTTGAACCGAGCGGACGATCAAGCTCTGAAGGATGAAGGGAAAAAGCGACTCAATGGAGAGTTGGACGAAGAAAAAGAGGGAGCTAGGTCTAATTGACTTTGACCAAAAGAACCGGAGCACTCTATGGGCGACTTTGGCTCATAAAAGCATATAGACTATTATTTTAATCTTTCCTTGTATTTTAATAGAAATGATATATATTCAAGACCAGCCTTCAACACCGTTCCCAGCGTGCTTATTCCCTGTACTATACGATAACCCATAGATGGGGATTATGATGATGCTGCCTAATATATAGAATCCCTCGATCATGATACGATCTCACCTACGGTGTAATCCTAATGGATCTCTTGGGAATTTCCTGAGGACAAAATATATTGAATGGTCATTATCTCATTGGAACAGAATAGAACAGGGAAATAAATCACGTTTAATTTCGTTCACACCGTCAGACGTTTATTTTTGTTTAACAGACTATCCACGTTAGTACCTTCTTGTGATCATGTCAAGGTATTGGAATTACTTACTGCCAATCACGCCGTTCACTGGAATGTCGATGGAAGTGGTGTAGCTGGCGGCCTCGCTTAGGAGGTACACATAGGCACCACCAAGCTCCTGGACCTCAGCCAATCGAGGGAAGCCACCATAGTACTTGAGCTGCTGCTCCCAGTCCGGTTGTTGAGGTACCCAATATGTCATAGCGGTGTTGACTAGGCCAGGTGACACGCTATTGACCCGGATGCCGTACTGCGCCCATTCCATGGCCAAGGTGTGGGTCATGTTGCGAACACCGGCCTTCGAGGCACCGTAGGGAGCGGATGGAACGCGCTGATGGGGGTGTTAGTATTGAGTGGATAAGAGTTCAAATGGATAAAAGCGTACTTTGTTAGGACGGTAAGAAGCCATAGAAGCTGTAAAAACCACGGAACCCTTGATTCCCTGTTTGATAAATGCGCGGGCAGCGGCACGTGCGGTATAAAAAGCACCGAAGAGGTTGACATTAAACAGAGTCTCAATATCCTCCTTGGTGAAGTCAAGAGCAGCCTTGTGGTGGGTACGCCCGGCATTGACGACCATTCCGTGTAGAGCACCAGCCTGTTCGATGATCTTATCAACTGCAGCGGTGATAGTGGCCTCCTCAGTCACATTGGCAGTGACGGCAAAGAGCTTATTGGGGTATTTCTTCGACACAGCAACAAAATCTTCTCCAGTCTCGCCAATGTCAATCGAGTAGACCTGAGCTGCGCCGTTATCAAGGCAGCACTCAGCAATGCCCAACCCTATTCCGCGGTTGGCACCGGTAACTAAAGAATTATCCTGTTAGCTAGCCACTCTCTCTAGACCTTCAATTTCCCAAACACCTACTCGCAATCACCTTTCCATTCAGAGCGACTTGAGTCTGAGGGACAGGAGTTTCATTGGAGGCCATGATGGATGATGTGAAGATAAATGTGTTTTGGGTAAAGAAAGATGCAGATGATTGACTTGAAGATTTGACCGAAAGAAGTCATCTTTATAAATGTACGAAATATCGGCAAGGCTCTTATGTGCCCGCGAAACACCTCATAGTCCAAATCATCGCATATACTTGGAGAGTGATGACTCGAGACGGGTGTTGGAGAAGCGCGGGGATAACGTGGGGGATAAAGTGGATGTGTCCCCGAGACGGCGCTGTGTTGTCCGTTCACTTGAAGCGTCCGATTCCCCAAGCTGAGGGCTTGGAATTCAATTCACATCTTGTCTCAACTCATAATAAATTCAAATATTCTTGAATGTTTTTGTCTTTCCACTTTCCCCCTACTCAATTTATACAATGGCTGCGCTACCCGCTTGGAACCTGCTTAAAGGCAAGACCGCCGCTGTAACTGGTGGTACTACTGGAATCGGTCGCGCGATTGTTCTGGCGTATATTACTCAGGGATGCAATGTCGCCGTGAATCACTTGGGTCTGGCCAAGGATGAATATCTTCGTCACAGTCTGCTGGAGGAGGTCAAGGCAATTGAGAACACAGGCATTAAGGCGGGAAAGATCCTCGAGCTCCCCGGGGACGTGACCAAACCAGAGACAAGCACCGATTTAATCCAGGAGGCTGTCTCACAATGGGGGAAATTGGACATTTTTGTTGCCAATGCGGGTGTATTTAAACCAGCAGAGCTTTTGAAGTAAGTCAAATGGCCGTACCTCGGTGATTTCGAGCTCTGTGGTTCCTTTTCCGCCCATCAAAGCCGATATGCTAAGAAAACAAAACAAAAAAATAGGATTGAACCGTCTCTTTTAGACCATACTGTCGATGTCAATATCAAAGGCACCTTCTACTCTTGCCAAGCTGCTGCTCATCAAATGGTGAAACAAGGGCACGGTGGTTCAATCATCGGTGTTTCTTCCGTTAGCGCTTTGCTGGGTGGTGGGTTCCAAACCCACTATACTCCTACCAAGGCTGGGATTCTCTCTATGATGCAGTCAATGGCCATCGCACTTGGAAAAGATAAGATCCGGTGTAATGCCCTGATGCCTGGCACCATCGGAACCTCGCTAGCTGCCCATGATATGAAGGACCCTGTCAAGATGGCCGCCCTTGAAGAGCGTATTCCTCTTGGTCGAATCGGAGATCCGAATGATATGGCAGGCCCGGCAGTTTTCTTGGCTTGTGAAGAGATGAGTCGTTATGTGAACGCAACGGGATTGCTGGCAGACGGTGGAATGTACAGTAAATTGCAGTGAATATTGCAGTGAATATTGCAGTGAATATATAAACGGATGAGGTCAATTTATTATCAAAAATACAGAATACACAGTTCTTCCATGCCAAATCTGTTAAGATATCTGGTGTAAAATCACTTAAAAGAAATTCAGGATTCAACCAAGCGTTTCTTTCAATATCTTCCAATTTATTTACAACTTTTACATACTTCATTTCATGCCTTACCGGCAGAGCCGCAAATTTCCATCCACTTGACGGTCAGATTGGCGACCTTCTGAATACCCTCCTCGATCAGTTGAGTGTGCGTAATTTTATCCACGTTCGCGCGAAGATGGTCGTAGTAGTCGTCCAAGACGAGGCGGTTGACGTTGATCTTGCTGACACCCGCAGCCACGCAGCGCTTCATTAACTCAGGCGAAAACCCATTGTTACCATGTAAAGCTAACCTGACTCGACCATTTGCCTGGCTACGGACACTCTTGAATCTAAACAGCTATTAGTGAATGGGATCAATAATGTCTTGTCTGACTTGCCTTTCAAAATCCAATTGTGGCCCTTGCGGCCCATACTCGCCGTGGACATTCCCAAACGCTGGAGCAAGCACGTCCACACCCGTGCTGACGAACTCATCCACCTCCTCAGCTGTTGTCATGCACGCTTCCAATCCCGCAGTATCCATTACACCATCCTCTCCACCTTCAATGCGACCTGGTTCGGCCTCGGTAGCCTTCTGCCGTTCATTGCAGTACCGCACCAGTTCGCGGGTCTTCTTCAGGTTGACTTCCTTCTCGTAGTGGGACATGTCAACCATGATACTGTCGAAGGGTAGCTCCGCTGCTCGCTTGATTATTGTTTCGGATTGTGCATGGTCGAGGTGTATGCTAATTGGTACACTCGCACGCTTCGCGGCATCTGCGGCGGTGCGCACGAGCAACCCATCAGTGATCTCGATCGCCCAGGGAAAGAATTGGATGATGAGGGGTGAACGAGCTGTCTCGGCGGCCTGTACTAGACCTATCACATGCTCAATATTGTAGGCTATGGCGGCGATAACTCCATACTGCCCGGCTTCAGCGTTCCGCAGAATGGTGAAATGAGTATTGGATTCTTTCCACGACATTTTGAGAAGCTGAGATAATCGCGTTTTTGGCAGGAGTCAAGGTTATACCTAGTATAGTGAATTTGAATTGAAATGGGATTGGAACACAAACATTGTGACTGGGCTGATCGAGTTAGTTTATAGATTCAACATAAACAGCCGTGACTGGGGATAATGACCCCGAGACGAGGCGAGATCCACCCTCAGGGTTTCTCCGTGGAGAAGGGTGAGGGTAAATGAGGTAGGAGATGAAAGATCCCGCATCAACTTCGCCTATTCAAATAAGCCAAACTTTGATTTCCTCGTCTTGCTCCAAAACATATGCCAGTCTGTGTGTCTTCATCGCGCGGGCCCGCTCCATCACTATCTCACAAGATGTCCAACAACGCCATTTCCTTCACGACCCATGACCAACGATTCATGGCGATCGTTGGTTCGTCTCCAACAGCAGAGCTTCTCGCAGAAAATAAAGACTATCCGTTTGCTCACGAAGCCGGGGTCTTTTTTCCTGGCACCAGTAACCTCTTCGTTACCAGCAACCGGTGCATTGGCCCAAACGGACTGCAAAAAGTACACATTACTCGGGTCGATCTGAGTAAAACGCCAATTACCTGTGAGGAGATTGCTACTGAAATTCCTATGGGTAATGGAGGTATCAATTATGATAAAGACTACGTTCTCTTCTGTGCACAAGGGACTATGACTGAGCCAAGTGGACTTTACCGGATGTCTACAATTGCTCCGTACAAGTCGGAACTATTGAAGGGTGATTTCCACGGTCGACCATTCAACTCTGTCAATGACGTGGTGGTACATACGGATGGCTCAATCTGGTTCACCGATCCCATATATGGCTCTGAGCAGGGTTATCGTCCTTCGCCGCGTCTACCTAACCAGGTATACCGGTGGTGTCCCGATACTGGGGCTATTCGTGTGGTGGCCGATGGTTTCGGGAGACCAAATGGTATATGCTTCTCTCCGGATGAGCAGGTTATTTATATCACCGATACGGACCGGGTACATGGAGACGGCAGCATCGATGACCAACGAGTATCCTCCATGTTAGTTAAATGCGATCTCCTTGGGTGATTGAAGTTGAATTCAAAGAGCTGATACTGCACTTTTGTCTAGTTATGCTTTCGACGTGTGCACCATTCACGGGGAGCCATTTCTCACAGACCGGCGGCTCTTCGCCATGGCAGACCAGGGCATTCCAGATGGAATTAAGTGTGATTTAGAAGGAAATGTATACAGTGGCTGCGGGGATGGAATCAATGTTTGGTCCTCAGGAGGTGTGCTCTTGGGTCGAATCCTTGTTGATGGAGGCGTGTCGAACTTCTGCTTCGGCAGAGACGGGGAAATCTTTGCCCTCAATGAACATCGATTGTGGCGGGTCCAGTTGGAAGAAGGAGTAAAGGGGGCATTGCTTCGATGATAAACTGTGGGAGATGTTACTATGTCAAAAAACCCACGACAAATACATTAGTTACAAATATTCACAAGAACACCGGTCCATGAGGAAAGATATGAAAAGACACGAACAATGCTGGGAACACTTGCAGTCAGCCTAAAAGGACTTTTGCATCTTCCAAATCTGCTGCAGCTCAACTCCCATAGATTTGACTGGCCAGCCACTTCGTTCCCGACAAGCCTCCAAGAGCTCTAGAATCGTGCTTCTAACATGGGGTTCTTGTGTAAATATTCCCGCTGTATCTGCGTAAGCCCTGCCTTCTTCCAATTTGTAAAATAGTACATACCTATAAATAAAGCCTGTGAAGACATTATGCTAGAAGCATTGTCCTTCAACGTCATACCAATAGAACATATTCTCTCCACGCAGCGCGTTATTGTACTTTGTCGCTCAAGGTGTCGATTCAACCCGCCAAAGCTGGGTTCATGAGATACCAAGAGAAGACACGATACGTTGAAAAATTGAACGGCGACGGCTGTATGATCAAATTAGTTTGGTTCCACCGGCCATAACACGGAATCTATGTAGAATAACATACCAAACGCGGGTGGGCTAATCCATACAGGCTGAAAGCATGATGAGGCCTCGTATGACCTAATCGGCAGGGGGAGAACTCAACAGTCAAATGCCGTTGCCAGTCTTCCAGCATGTTCCGAAGTCGCATTGCCTCATCAATTTGATGCTGGATGTTTTCTTGGGTTGTTTCGGTGGCGCAGTAACTAACCACCTTTGCGGTGATATAGATGGAGCGCGTAGCGAGCTCGTGCGGTAATAACACAGAGAGAGGCTTTTGCGGAACCCAAAACGTAAAGGTCTTGCGTTTCTCGCGGAAAGCTGCCCAGATATCCTGGCACAGCCATGCCCACCAGACGGCCGATTTGAGCCCTCCAGTTTCTCCGTGTATCGTTTGAGACCTCTGAATCAAGAAGACTCCTTCTAGGTGACGTTCCCAGTCATCTGTAGAATTGTCAAGCATTTCATAAGTGGAAATTATCAAGGCGGTTGAAAGCAGCTCCAGGCTAATCTTGTAAGCACTAGATTGCATCGCCCTTCCCACGTAATGAAGAGTTTGGTAGTAGTATTGAAGAGCCTCTTCCGGCTTGCCTGTAATGTTTTGATCATCTAGACTAGGGTTCAAAGCCAGGTGCCGAAAAGAAAGAGCTAATATAGCGTTTAGAAGCCCAGCATTGCGCAACTAAACACCAAGTCAGTTTTTTAAACGAAAAAGATCTCCGTTTAGTAGGGCCCAACTTACCGCTAGGTGCACAACTAATGTGGAGAATTTGTTCGTCGGGTCAAAAAGATCGATCTGCGAGGGAGGATTATCAGATGAGGGTACACCAGTCAGGGATATGGTGCTATGACCAACCAATGGGCTAACTTGATGTACAAAATGTTCGAACAATGTTTGTTCTGCTGGTAAGAGATTTATTGGCTCCTGTGACTGCCAAACCTGCCCCTCTGTCAACGAACTGCTTTCAGTGAAATGGCCATCCGTCACGTCTTGACTGGCCGAGCTGCCAGAAGGGCCATCCAAAACCTGAGTCGCTCGCTGTAGCGAGCTGGGCTGTGTCGGGCTATCACCACTCTGGTATCCAAGCGAGAGGCTTTGGCTCTCCAAGGAATCAGAGATGCCATCGCTGGGAAACCCACTTGCTAGTAAGCCTAACCATCGTACCGCCGCCAACGATGAGGTAGATGGCGACAAGTAATCCCCATGCATGCCTCCTGAACCCTGACTCGGAATCCCCTCGTTCTCCAGTCGATATTCCAGCATGGCGGACGGAGAAGGATTAAGGATCGCTTCCGAAGCGGTCCTGGCATGATCAGAGGCTCCATGCGGCTGGTAGTGCACTTCGCCTGGGTTGTGATCACTTGATACATGTTCAATGTTCTGTTCTAGAGGCGGTGTTTGTTGCGGTGTTTTCTGCTGCGGTGTTTGCTGTGTGGTTGATAAAATGGAGAGGTTCTCAGGAATGACCTTGTTGGTGGCTGCAGAGTCGACGTTGTGTCGGTTCGAGTTGGCGTAATCACAAATCTTATTCTTTTTGGTACAGGGGCCGCATGTCGGTTTAATTTCATCACACTTCATATGCCGCTTCCGACATGTGAGGCTAAATAGGCTGCGTCAAGCAAGGCACGACGTAGTTTGAACACAAAGGACCTTACCATCCGTCCTTAGTCCGCAGCCCACGCCCTCGGGACTTTCGCTTACGTTGCGATCTGGCAGGCAAATTTGGACTAACCATTGAGTCATTATTCCATGTATTACATATACCCTCTGGGTTAAGAGTCCAATCCATTCTAAATTGTGCCGTTTGCTAGTTAATGTCCTCGTCTCGGGGAAGCTTATGAGATAAGCGCACGTGACCTACCCCACACCCCCACACTCGGCTCCAGGCGGGGTATGTGATTATATAAGCATTTACCCCCCGGCCAGGGGTTAAGTAGTTAACTAACTACCTGGGTATGACCTCTGTTGGGCAGAAGTAATTTCTGAATAGTTCTACTCTACCGCAGATGTTCGTTGATCTATCAAATCCCGATACTCACGCTGTTTGAAACACATGTCCAAGAATACCTCATATTTGGCCTGGAAGAGCCTTTGCTCATCCGCATCAGCCGTGGGGTCCAAACGTCGACCAGGCTTGCTCATTTGGGTCATGATACTCCACAGATCCTTCGATTCCCCGCCCGATCCCTGACTGGCGGCCATAGCTGCCAGCATAGCAGCACCGTGGCAAACAGCCGCATGCACATATTCTGGAACAATTACTGGCATTTTGCAACAAGAAGCAATCAAGTGAATCAGGAGGTCGTTGAGTGTTTGTGATCCAGACATGAAAATAGTTGAGATCTGATACCCACGTTCGTTCATAGTATCCACAATCTGACGTGTTTGCAATGCTATAAATTCCAAGGCCCCGTAATAATGGAGAGCGAGATTTTTGATTGAGGTATCACCTCTCAACCCGATGACTGCGCCTCTCATTTGCGCGTCAGCAATAGGTGAGCGGTTTCCCCATAAGTCACCGTAGAAAAAGAAATGTTTAGCCAACTCGGACACATGGGCACACTCGCTCTCCTTTGCTTGTTCACGCAGGTAGTTATTCAGAAAATCGTAAAGTGAAATGCCGGCATCCCTCGCTTCTGTCGCTGTTTTCAAGTATGCAGGATGGCTTTCAACAACATGTCGGATGAGTTCACCGGTTGCCGACTGGCCTCCTTCGGCAACATACGCTCCAGAGAATAGGACATCCCGATACGGGCCCCAGACTCCAGCAACGAACAACTCATCATTCGTCATCGCCAGGTGACAAGTGGATGTTCCAGCAACCAATGCCAATCGGTGCGAAAGATGTTCTCTGTCGTCGATCGGACCATCTAGTCCAAGGTCAACTTTGGCACCGACTGTACCTATCCAGCCTGCGTAGGCGTCAATGACCCCGCTACCAACAGCGATGCCGGGTGAGAGCCCTAACTCCTCAGCCGCCTTTTCGTTTAAAGGTCCGACCCGCTCGCCAGCACTAAGATATCGGCCGTTCTATCAAAGTTGTGGTGAGCTTTGGTTTGAGCGGAGGAACTTTTTTTTAACACATACCTTGCCGTTGATACCACCAATTTGAGCATAGTCATCGATGGCAAGATCCTCAAGGCCAATCTGATTCAGAAACTCCAGCTGCCAGCCTTCTTCGCCGTAGTTTGTGCCGGCTGCGAGGTAGCCCTGCTTGCAAACCACGCTGCAGTAGCTTCGAGTCTTTTCTCCAGTCGCTAAATACGTGAGGGCATCTGCAAGATCGTAGAACTCGCAATCCCGAAACTTGCTCGGATCCATATGATTTTTCAGCCAGAGGATCTTGGGCATCTCCATTTCGACTGACATGCCGCCCCCTACATACTGGAGCACAGGGTGACCAGTCTCATTGATGGTCTTGGTCTCTGCCACTGCGCGGTGATCCAGCCATAGAATTACGTTCTGGTCACTACTGCATTTTGGGCCACACACAGAGACCGGATTGTTGGTCTCTTTGCTGAAAACAGCCAGAGAGCATGTGGCATCGAAAGCAAGACCTCGGATACTGGATCGCTGCAAACCTGCTTCCTGTATAGCTTGTTTGACTGCTGCACAGATGCTATTCCAGATGTCTTTGGTCGATTGTTCATAGAATTCCGGATGTGGTTGCCATGTTTTGATGCTCTGGGAAGCGAGACCAACAATATTACCCTGGTGATCAATGACACAGGCACGCGCACTGCCCGTACCTACATCAATCCCAATGTAGTGAAACTCAGTGTTGCCAGCCATGCTAAGAGATGGATATAAAACTTTTCCGAGATGAGAAGCTGTGTATATGTTTGTGCAAATCTAATAGAAATGGCATTCCATTGCACCAAAGATGCGAATGTCTCCAGGTTGGAAACTGACAGAGTACATCAACGTACGTTTTCGTTTACATTTAGATCTCGCCTGTTGGGATTTTCTCTGATACAGAACTCCCAGAAAGGTATGGTGGGGTGGCCCCCGAGACGAGGATCATCGAGACGAAGGACATCCACGAGACGGTGGTAATTGCCGTATCCTAGGCCCCATAGTAACACCGTGGCTTTCTGATTTCTCGCAACCGGCAAAGAGTATTGGGTCTGATGATTGTTGATATGAAAAGAAATCAAGATGGAAACTGAACATAAATAGGTCTTCCCATGTTTCTGAAGGGTGGAGGTCTACAGTGAAAACGTTTGGCTGTTCAAAATGGTTTTCTCCAAGCCTGATTTTGTGGAAGAAAATGTCTAGTGAGTGCGTCCCTTCACAGTGCCGTCAATACCTTCCAAATCACTATATAGGCGCCACTCGTAGTCCAAGCTAGGATCATTGAAGCGAGCCTTCGCATCCAAAATTGAAATTTGTGCCATATCCTCAGGCTGCAGCTCGAAGTCGGATTCCAGGTTCTGCTTCACCTGCCAATCCACAACGCTTTTGGGGATGACAGAGCGCCCGCTATTGATACCCCACGCAAGTACCACCTGGGCCGTACTCTTGCCATACTTCTCAGCAATTTCTTTCATGGTTGGCTGATCGATGACCCGCTTCATGTGTGCAATCTCCTTGGACCAGCCGGTCTGTCTGTAGAAATCGTTCATGTTACCCAGCGGGCTGAACTGGACGACGTGAATTCCCTGTTCCTTCAGCCACTTGTTGAATTCTTTCTGCTGCAGATAGGGATGGACCTCCATCTGGTGGACTGCAGGTACCTGTAAATGGAATTAGCTCAATTCAAAATTTGCGATAGATGGAGGAATCACATACGGTGCCGGCCTTCTCGAGCAACGTCTGAATCTCACCCTTACTGAAGTTCGAGACACCAATGGCCTTGACCTTTCCAGTCTTGATGACCTCTCCCATCACTTTCCACGTATCCATAAAGGTGGTCTCGCCGCGGATAATCCGGCCTTCGGCGTCCCGAGGGAATCGATCGGCCCCGCGCTTGAAGGTACAGGGGTAGTGCATCAACAAGAGGTCAACGTAATGGGTATCCAGGTCACGGAGTGAGTCATCCACAGCACGCTCCACGTCTTCGGGATGGTAGTCATTGCACCACAGCTTAGTACCGACAAAAATATCTTCGCGGGGAATACCGCTCTTCTTGATCCCCTTTCCCACCTGCTTTTCAACGTTGTAGACACGAGCAGTATCAATCAGGCGTATGCCTTTTCGCAGCGCTAGGCTGACTGTATCTTCCTGAGAATCTGGGTCTTGGAATGTGCCAAATCCCAATGCAGGGATCTTCGCACCGGTGTTGAGTGTGTAGGAGGTTGCACGGGTGACGAGCCCGCGAGTAGTAAAAGCGGATCGAGTTGGGAAGAATGACTTTCTTAACACTGCTACTCCAGCCGTTCTAGCTGCAAAACAAGCCATTGTCCGAAGGGCTGACTGAGAAGACTGAGTATCAATTCTTGAATTTCGCCGAATTGGATGGGGCAATTCCGCGAGGTTTCTGGCTGACTTTGGTTCAACGAGGGAATAGCAATAGCAAATACTATACGCAAGATCATGGTATTTCCATGGCAATTAAATTCTCCCATATTCAAACCGTGGAGCTTTCAATTCCGAGCTACCCCAATTGAAGTGAAGCTAAACAAGGGGCTCGTGGCGGGAAATGGGCGCGAGACGGGGACTCACCAGCTCCAAGATCGCTCCGGAAGACATGACGATGTTTGTGGAGTCCGTTCCCCACATTTCCCCGGAATCATAAGATTAGCTTTCGAGAGTCCCACCCGTCTTCAACGGGGGAGCCAGGGTTCCTTCTATGACATAATGACGAGTACAAAACGTGTTGGGAGAGTCCCAGCCTCAAGACCCCGGGGATTTGGAATGCCTTTGCCATGGCAAGGTCAATTTGCTTCTCCTGGAGTATACAGGGGTACGTATATCAATTCCCTAAATTTAATCTTCCGTCGGGTGCAATACAGCAATATCTCCACCGTTATACGGTTCCCACGGCCTAGTGCCACTATGTTTCCTAAAGAACAGTTCCGTGATTAGGTCGCTATAATGCAATATATTCGAGACCAAACTTCAATCCCAATTCCTTTCATCCTTCACAAAAATGAATAATCCTCCGCAATTGAGTCCTTTTTTAGTATAGGATATATCCAACATGATGGGAGTATTTATGATGTTCTTAACACGTCGAAATGGCTAAAAGCAGATATTGCGAAGTTTTGACCGCAGAATTAGTGAGACCAAGCTAGAGGAGGCTCTCTAAGCTATCACTCTACCTCCAGGGCCCGGATTGACTCTCTAAACCAGGTTGATGATTTCAAGGAGTTAGCAGTCAATCCCTATTTACACCGATGAATAAACTGGTTGACTAGAGTCGCTATCCTATTCTAATTTACCGGGATCCGGATGAACACACTCTATTCACCAGAAGAAGGGCGTGTATCATGTGACAGGGTGAAGCTATAACGAGGGTAGTTATGTGTCAAATAAATAAAATTGGTTTAATTTCAAGAGTTACCTAGAGGGCATGTTGGATTATATAAAAAAGGGGAATGTTTAACTAGCTCACGATGTTAGGGCATTCTAGAACATGTATGTGGTTTTATTCTGTCAGAACACTTTACTTTTTATAACAGCATATCCCATAACACTAGACAGTCTCCATATATATGTGCTCTATGACAAAATTCTTCAGTTTCGGACAAGATCACCAGGGCACCATATGATATAACCCCCCACAAGGTCAACGAATCGACCCAATCAATACCTTGGCGATCAATCCAGAATTAGCCTCAGTCGATATCAGGATTTCCCTTCTTCGAAATACTGCAATGCTTTGATATGAATTTGGGGGAATTTTCCCGCGTAGGTCAACTGAGACCTCCTAGCCCGAAGGAATGTATCTCTTTCGATAAGGCAGGAATATACCGGTATCACAAGTAACAACAGCAAAAGCACCTGGGCACAAGCAATGGCTTATAGATCCCAGTCTAGTATGTACCAAATATTTTACAAGGTAACTAGGCAATGCAAAGGCAATGCAAAGGCAATTGCGGAAGGCTCTGGAAGGCTCTGGGGTTTACCTAGGTACCCTGGCTCCTTCCCTTTTGGGATCAATCCGTCACCTAACGCAGCTTCCGGAAGGTGAACCTTCCAAGGTTGGAAGGTGCGAAAGGCTCTGGAAGACTCTGGAAGGCTCTGGGGTTTACCTAGGTACCCTGGCTCCTTCCCTTTTAGGATGCAGTTTCCCCAAGATCCTTAAGCCATTGAGGCCATTGGAAAAGGTATAAATACCCCCCTCCCCCCCATTTCTCTCTTCTTTTTTTTCTTCCTTCTTCACATCTCTTATTTTCTCTGAGTCTCCACCTTACACCTTTCGGACTTTCCATCATGACCTCAATCTACTATGGACCTTCCGCCTTAGGACCTTCCACCATGGACTCATCTACCTTGACCAACTTCCACTCTGGTCACCATCCACCTTGACCACCATCCACCTTGACCACCATCCACCTTGGCCACCATCCACCTTGGCCACCATCCACCTTGGCCACCATCCACCTTGGTCACCATCCACCTTGGTCACCATCCACCTTGGTCACCATCCACCTTGGTCACCATCCACCTTGGTCACCATCCACCTTGGTCACCTTCCACCTTGGTCACCTTCCACCTTGGTCACCTTCCACCATGGTCACCTTCCACCATGGTCACCTTCCACCATGGTCACCTTCCACCATGGTCACCTTCCACCATGGACCTTCCACCTTGGTCACCTTCCACTTGGTCATCACCATGTCCTTATATCATGGCTGTCTACCATGACCACTAGTATTCCTTGTGACGTCCCTCTCTTCGTCCCAAAAGACGAGCCTTACTAACTAGTTTCTAGTAACCTTGATACCCTATTTCAATCATCCATTCAATCATCCAAACCAACCATCCACTTCAATCAACTATCCACCTCAATCAACCATCCACTTCAATCAACCATCCATTCACTTCAATCAACCAACCATCCTCTTCGATCATCCATCCTTTTCAATCATCCAAATCAACCATCTAGCTCAATCAACCACCCATCCATCCACTTGAATCAACAATCCAACTTCAATCAACTATCCACTTCGATCATACAAATCAACCATCCATTCACTTCAATCAATCAACCAACCAACCATCCTCTTCGATCATCTATCATTTTCAATCATCCAAATCAACCACCTACCTCAACCACCCATCCATCCACTCCAATCAACCAACCATCCTCTTCGATCATCCATCATTTTCAATCATCCAAATCAACCACCTACCTCAACCATCCATCCATCCACTCCAATCAACCAACCATCCTCTTCGATCATCCATCATTTTCAATCATCCAAATCAACCACCTACCTCAACCACCCATCCATCCACTCCAATCAACCAACCATCCTCTTCGATCATCCATCATTTTCAATCATCCAAATCAACCACCTACCTCAACCATCCATCCATCCACTCCAATCAACCAACCATCCTCTTCGATCATCCATCATTTTCAATCATCCAAATCAACCACCTACCTCAACCACCCATCCATCCACTCCAATCAACCAACCATCCTCTTCGATCATCCATCATTTTCAATCATCCAAATCAACCACCTACCTCAACCATCCATCCATCCACTCCAATCAACCAACCATCCTCTTCGATCATCCATCATTTTCAATCATCCAAATCAACCACCTACCTCAACCACCCATCCATCCACTCCAATCAACCAACCATCCTCTTCGATCATCCATCATTTTCAATCATCCAAATCAACCACCTACCTCAACCATCCATCCATCCACTCCAATCAACCAACCATCCTCTTCGATCATCCATCATTTTCAATCATCCAAATCAACCACCTACCTCAACCACCCATCCATCCACTCCAATCAACCAACCATCCTCTTCGATCATCCATCATTTTCAATCATCCAAATCAACCACCTACCTCAACCATCCATCCATCCACTCCAATCAACCTCAATCAACCATCCACTTCGGTCATCTATCCACTCTGATCACAACCAGTCTGGCCGTGGCGGGCTTCGGCTTCAGGACAATCGGCTGACTGGTGGAACCACTTCGAATACCCCTTCCATGAATGACTTCGATCCCCCCTCAAAACCCCGTCGATCAACAACACTCACCAGTCTGACCGTGGCGGGCTTTGGCTTCAGGACAATCGGCAGACTGGTTGCAACCACTTCGATCATCCAATCCCACTTCGATCCTCCACCTCGATCACGCCTCCCCTTCGGTCCTCCATCCACTTCAATCACAACCAGTCTGACCGTGGCGGGCTTCGGCTTCAGGGCAATCGGCAGACTGGTTGCAACCACTTCGATCATCCAATCCCACTTCGATCCTCCACCTCGATCACGCCTCCCCCTCGATCCTCCATCCACTTCAATCACAACCAGTCTGACCGTGGCGGGCTTCATAGCTTCAGGACAATCGGCTGACTGGTGCAACCACTTCAATCACTTCGATCACACCCCCCTCGAAACCCCCGTCGATCAACAACACTCACCAGTCTGACCGTGGCGGGCTTCATAGCTTCAGGACAATCGGCAGACTGGTGCAACCACTTCGAATACCCCCCTCTATGAATGACCTCGATCCCCCCCTCAAAACCCCCGTCGATCAACAACACTCACCAGTCTGACCGTGGCGGGCTTCATAGCTTCAGGACAATCGGCAGACTGGTGACAACAACTTCGATCCTCCATCCCACTTCGATGCCCCCTCTATGAATGACCTCGATCCCCCTCAAAACCCCGTCGATCAACAACACTCACCAGTCTGACCGTGGCGGGCTCCGGCTTCAGGACAATCGGCTGACTGGTGCAACCACTTCGAATACCCCCCTCCATGAATAACCTCGATCCCCCCTCAAAACCCCGTCGATCAACAACACTCACCAGTCTGACCGTGGCGGGCTCCGGCTTCAGGGCAATCGGCAGACTGGTTGCAACCACTTCGATCCCCCCTCTATAAATGACTTAGAACCGTCCCTCGATCAACAACACTCACCAGTCTGACCGTGGCGGGCTCCGGCTTCAGGACAATCGGCTGACTGGTGCAACCACTTCGAATACCCCCCTCTATGAATGACCTCGATCTCCCCCTCAAAACCCCCGTCGATCAACAACACTCACCAGTCTGACCGTGGCGGGCTTCATAGCTTCAGGACAATCGGCAGACTGGTGACAACCACTTCGGTCATCCACCTCCACCATCCATCCCCCACCGCTTCAACTACTTCAATCATAACCAGTCTGACCGTGGCGGGCTTTGGCTTCAGGACAATCGGCAGACTGGTGACAACCACTTCGAATACAACCCCCTCCATCACCCCCCTCGATTCCTCCGTCGATCAACAACACTCACTCACCAGTCTGACCGTGGCGGGCTCCGGCTTCAGGACAATCGGCAGACTGGTGACAACAACTTCGATCCTCCATCCCACCTCGATCCTCCACCTCGATCACCCAATTCAATCCCGACTAGTCTGGCCGTGGCGGGCTCCGGCTTCAGGACAATCGGCAGACTGGTGCAACCACTTCGAATACCCCCCTCCATGAATGACCTCGATCCCCCCTCAAAACCCCGTCGATCAACAACACTCACCAGTCTGACCGTGGCGGGCTCCGGCTTCAGGACAATCGGCAGACTGGTGACAACAACTTCGATCCTTCATCCCACTTCGATCATTCATCCCTCCTTGATCCTCCACGATCCTCACATCCTCATTGACCACCCAATTCAACCCCAACCAGTCTGACCGTGGCGGGCTTCATAGCTTCAGGACAATCGGCTGACTGGTGCAACCACTTCGAATACCCCCCTCCATGAATGACCTCGATCCCCCTCAAAACCCCGTCGATCAACAGCACTCACTCACCAGTCTGACCGTGGCGGGCTTCATAGCTTCAGAACAATCGGCTGACTGGTGGCAACCACTTCGATCCCCCCTCCATAAATGACTTCGAACCGCCCCTCGAACAACGACATCCACCAGTCTAACCGTGGCGGGCTTGACAGCTTCAGGACAATCGGCTGACTGGTGGCAACCACTTCGAATACCCCCCTCCATGAATGACTTCGAACCCCCCTCGAAAAATGACATCCCCCAGTCTGACCGTGGCGGGCTTTGGCTTCAGGACAATCGGCAGGCTGGGCAATCAACCTTCGATCATCGATCAACAACCCACAATGTGACTACCATTTCCAATTGTAACCACAGTCTTTTCAAATAACACCTTGACAACCATCTTCCAATCAACCATCTTGACAACCATCTTGACAACCATCTTTACAACCATCTTTCAATCAACCATCCTCCATCTTGCCAACCATCCTCCAATCAACCATCCCCAATGATCTTGACAACCATGACCATTGACAAATTTCAAATCATCATCTTTGAATCATCTTAACAACGATTCACAACGGCCATCCTCCACTGAAGATCTTCCACCCACACCACCATGAACCTTTCATTTGCAGCTCTTTGCTACAAATACGGACCTTGTATCATCAACATTCTACCATGACCACCTTGATCCATCATCGGCCTTCTACTATAGGCACCATGATCACTACCAGTCACCACCAGCCATCCACATTAACGACCATCGGCCTTTCATCATCGGCATTCCACCATGAGCCCTCATTGGTCTTCTACTATGGGCCCATGACCGCCATTGGCCTTTCATTGTTGGCTTTCCACCATGAGCACTATGACCACCATACACCTGGCTCATAACAGCTGTTCGTCAACTTCATGAACAAACAAATCTGCGATGACTTCCCTATCAAGCCTGTCCCTTCTCGTGTTCAACCCTTAGGGTCAAACCAACAACAAAAACAATCCTGCAAAGTCGCCTGGTCAACCAAACTTCTACCAGACTTCACAATCAATCAAATATGGACTCGCAATATTTTCTCGGTCTTCAGAAAAAGCTCGTAACCATCCGAGCAATGAGAAGTGGCCTAACAAAGTTTCTTCTTCCACCAACTCTTGATCCATGCTTCAACATCACATCATCCAATCATTGATCAAGTTCACAGCAGATTGTGCATCGACACACGCTACAGTCAATGGCCAGGAGAGGTTTCCTTCCTCGGCAAGGTTCACAATCAACAAGCCACTCATATTGAGCAGTGCTTCCACAATTCCGAACATTTGGTCAACACAACTACTGTTGGGTGGATATTATATCCATCAAATGCATCATGGGGGTCTTCAGTGGGGGTCGTCATTGGGTTTCAGCATGTGTTATTGCTATAGTTTTCAATGTTCTACCTCTCTCTCGTCTGTCCTTCACAGATTGTTTTTCTGAGCATCATTTGCAATTTAAGACATATTCCAGTTTATTTCTGCCTCTATACCTCTAGAATAAATGTATCCAATGTAGGACGGAATAGAAGACACTGGCCTCGAAAAAATGTCATTAAAAAGAAAGTAAGGTTAGTCGCTGCATCTTGACGGTAGTAAGAAGCCGCGCAATTATCAAACAGGAGTAGGGAGTGTCATCAATCATCACATCGTCTGAAACCCTCCAAAAGAAATTCACCGCGCCAACCCAGATACTCTGCGTAGAGTACTGGGGAATAAAAGGGAGAAGAGAAAAAAAACGCCATTATTGCAAAACACAACCGAAATTAAAAAGCAAGAAGAGGGGGGAAAAAAGAGATTGAAAAGCTGTAGCCGAAGGTACGCACAGGATCATACGTCCTCAACTTCGACGACCCGCTCCACAATCCAGTCCGCAAAAGCCTGGCCCTCGAGTTTCCACCGTCCATCAGCCCACACATCACTGAACCAGTAAGCCCACGGCTTACTCGAAGATGTAAGCTGCAAATCCCAAATTGAAGCTGTGGCACGGCGATTCGTCGAGTGATTATCGGCCCCTGCCGAGAGATCATGATTGACGTTGCGGAATCCAGCAGCCAAAGTTGGGTTGCTGGTATCGGAATCGCCTTTCCTGATCCGCCATTCACGCTCAGCTTTCTCACCTGCACGGCGGGCGACCGCTTCCTCGTCTTCTGCTTGGTAGAGATTGCATTTGGTGCATTCTGTGCAGCGGGACCCAGGGTTGATGCGGAAGTGCTCACAGAAGTGTTTGTAGCCTTCTGGTTCTTCAAATTCATCGTCATCGGACAAGTTGTCTGCCACCTGCTCATCGTCAAAGGGATCGTGGGGTATATCGGCCGGGCCATCAAAGGCACCTAAGCCGCGGGGGGCACGAGCAGGCGCGGTTGTTTGTATGGGTGGGCCTAATGCCTTGCGGCATAGGTAGCACATGGAGTAGCCACAAACACAAGTCAGTTTGTTGCAACCTGAGGACTTGACGAATGAGAGGCAGCAGCGGGGACAGGTGCGTTTCACGGCGGCAGTGCGGGCAGCCTCGACGGTAGCGCGCAAGTCCAGGAGTAACGGCTCATGGCACACATGTGGATCTCGCCACGATTTATGGCATGTCATGCAGCTAATGCGTGAGCATGAGGGGTTGGCACAAGTGAATCGTTTAGGTCGGATGTTGAGGCAAAGGTTGCGAATGGCATTTCCGAAGACCGCTGTTACGGTGGCTGGGTCCAAAAGGAGTAGAATAATAACAGGGATTACGAGTAGAGGGACAAGGTCAAGGAGGAGGAGGGTCATCAAAATCGTCGGAATAATGCCACCGTCACGACGGAATCGCCAGCGGACACCATGGGGTGAAGGATGGTAGACTGGGTCGATTTCAGCATAGGAGCAGAATGGACATCTAACGAGCTTCAATTGAGACTTCATGAGTGCCTCAGAGGAGAGCCGATCTTCGAATTTGCGGTACGTTTCAAAGCCAGCAGTGTCAAGAAGAATTGCTTGCTTGACAATCTCTGGATGAAGACATCCCTCGCACGACCCGATGGACAATGGCGCAAGACACTTCAAAGTAGAGCGCTCTAAATCAACCGACTTGCCCCAGCCCTGCCCAAACAGCGCTTCATAGACAGTTCTTTGGATGCAGTGGTAGCAAATGATGTGGATGTTTGTTGAACATGTCGCGATCTGCTCAAATGTCACGTCGGCGAAACAACACTCGCATTCGTAAAGGGCATTGAGTTCTTTGGCTTCCTTCTCATTCAACTCTGAAGCAAATCGGAAATCCTTATCATGCTGCTCTGCACGCTTCTGCTGCAACAGTGGGGCCAACAACATCTCGTGGAGCTCTGCATCCAGTTCGTTGCACCCGGTTTCCTTCAGAACAGGAACAAGTTCCCCGTCTGGTCGACGATGCCAGGCCAGAAGCGGATGTTCTTCACGGTCCTTCTTCCGCCTAAAGGATGGGAACATGCTGTTGAATGTCGCGCGCCATGTCCGACGCGACAGATCCCGGAGCGTTGGTCGAGCCCGAGCATAGCTAAAATTCACTTCAGCTAGAACAGCCTCCACTGTACTTTTGTTCAAACCACTATATTCTCTTGTCATGGCTATCCGCACAGCGGCCTTGTATTCGTCGGACCGAAACCGCTCATCGGGAGGGACCAGGCCGCCCTTGCCAGCGTCATGCCGAACAAAGTTATCGCCTCCAGGGGATGGGGGAGCATTTCCCTCTGCCTCGGCTTCAGTGGTTCCTTCTGGGAGATTCCAGCGCCCCGAAACCCATTTCTTCTTATGCCTGAGTAGCTCCTCCACACACACTTGTAACCGGCTCTGTCCGTCAAAGCGTAGCAGCAGCTCGCGGAACACCTCTATCTGTACATCGGGAAAGATTCGAACCAGAGTCTCAAGTGCGGTATTGAGTTCCTCCTGTTCCCGTTTGTGTTCCTCTGTTTCGTGGGCCGAGAGCTGGACGGGGCCGCGGGATCGGGAGGTACTGCCAAAAGGGTTATTTCGTAACGCCTCGAGGGTGATGGAGTAGCTGCTGGGAGAGGATTCAGTCTGTGGTAGGGATGTCTTTCGGGCATTGCAACTGGACGAGGAGCTGGTTGAAGAACCGGAGGCTGACTTTCGGTGAGATTGCGTGCCGTCGGCGGGGCGGGATGTGGAGGATTTGGAGAAACCAGGAACTGGTAGCGAGAGCACCATGATTGTACAGGGTTTACATGGTTTTGGAATATGAAAGTGTCAGAGGATATCAGAAGATGTCAGAAGAGATGTCAGGAGAGGTGTGGGGGGTGTGGTTGGATATAAAAATGGGTGTTGAAGTAGTCCTGGAGCCTAAAATGAAGAATGAAGGATTTGTTACATAAGACGACCTTCCGCCCTTTTTCTTCTTCTTTTTCTTCTTCTCTTTCTTTTTCTTTTACATCTCCCTCCTATGATCTTTCTATTTGCTAGTTAACTAGTGATCTCTTCTTTTAAAGCAATATCACATACACAGAGTGTCTCGTTGAGAGTGCAGAATGTCACTTGATTGCGATATATCAACCCACACCACCCGGGCATACGATACAATTGAACAAGCAAATGAAATCTCAAAGATCATATGCTCCTTAGGAATACAGTTCAAAAGAATCAATGTAATGTCAGACAATATCACTAGAATAGCACAGAATTTACCTGTCTTCTGACCCAGGTTCTTGAAAGTAAAACATATGTGATTCACTTTGCCATACCTACACAGTCGTAGATGGATCAATACATATATATCTATCAATGGTGTAGTTATATTTATGTAGTTACCAAATTCAGATACATCTCATTGGCCTCATGGGAAAAACTAAAAACAAGAAAAATCGCAGGTAGTATATACAAAAAAAGAAAGAAGCAACAGTCTGATCCAAGTGTTCCGGCTCGCTTTGCCAATGGGAATATCGCTTCAACCAAAGTTTTCATATTTTACAGCTTGGCCTTAGCGCCCTCCAGGAGCTCTGCACCGGCGCCGGTGATGGCAGGCTTGCCAGTCTCAACAACGGTGGCCTGGAACAGGACGGTGTTGCCCTCCTTCCACATCTCAGTCTTAAGGGTCTGGCCAGGCAGGACAACACCCGCGAAGCGAACCTTAAGGTTCTTGTAGGGGCCGAACTTGGAGAAGACAGCCTTAGACGACACACCGAGTGAGCACAGACCATGCAGGATGGGGGTCTTGAAGCCGCCGACCTTGCTGAACTCGGGGTCGATGTGGAGCGGGTTGCGGTCACCGTTCAGGCGATACAGCGCTGCCTGGTCCTCAGAGGTCTTCTCCTCAATCACGGCATCGGGCTGGCGCTGCGGCGCCTTGTACGGAGCAGTGGCAGCCTTGGCACGCACAGCAGTGGGCTTGGAAGAGCCTCCGAAGCCGCCACTGCCGCGGATAAAGACGCTGGACTCGTTATAGAACAGATCCTCACCGGTCCTGGCATCCTTGGTTGTGAACCCGGCGACGACGATCGCTGCGTTGCCCTTGTCGATAACGTCAATGAGCTTGGGATAGGTCAAGGTATTGGCGGTAGTGGGGATGGGGAACTTGCGAACCTCCATGTACTGCTCACCGTGGAGCAGCATCATGGGGGAGAAGTCCTTTACTAAATCGTCCATGTTCCAGGGAGTAGCGGTGTTGAACCAGGGGACGACACCATACGAGGGAAGGGCCTGGAACTGGTCGTTGTTCTCGTAGACCAGAGGCAAGTCGGTGCGCTTGGCGCCCAAGCTGAGGTTGTACAGGATCACATCGCGGTCCTCGTAGTTGAAGGGAGTACCCTCGCTCGAAAGGGCCTTGGCCTTCTCGATGTTCTTCAGGATATCGTTCTCGCTAGAAGCATCACCGTGCACGCGGTTAGACATGTTAGCCATGATCT